CCCAAAGGAATGCCAGCAGTCCATTGCAGGCTACCTCTTCCAATAGCATTTTTCCAGGCTTCCTTAGAAGTTTACCGCGACCCATTTACACTCCTGGGTGGAGAGAGGCACTGGAAGAGTATCAAGCGTCGTGCCTTACCCTCAGCCCTCTTCCCAAAGGAACTACCAATCCCCCTGGATAGGATACCAGTCCATCGCAGGTTGGAAGTTCACATTACACTCCTGGGTGGAGAGAGGCACTGGAAAAGTACCAAGCGTCGTGCCTTACCCTCAGCCCTCTCCCCAGAGGAGCTACCAATCCCCCTGGATAGGATACCAGTCCATCGCAGGTTACCTCTCTTGACTCTTTTGACGGGCTTCTCTGGAAGTTCACATTACACTCCTGGGTGGAGAGAGGCACTTGGAAGAGTATCAACAGTTGTGCCCCACCCTCACCCTGCCTCATTTTGCAAATTTTTGTCGTAGGAAAGTACACGATGCATTTTATGACTGAGGCAAAAAATGCAAAAGCCCTCGAAATGAACCCCACAAAACATTAACGTCACCGTTCATGATAGCCAAAGAACCTCACCAGAAGTCAGCCCTAAGGGACTGAGGTCATATTCTACACCACCAGCCGACACCAAACACTGCACAGCTGACGCAGAACAAACCAGTGATGTTTGAAAGTCAAAGAAGTACTTGTTTCCCCCCCGCTCAGAGAAAGTAGGCTCTCCAAAAGGCTTGTTTGAGTCACAGTAGAACCTGATGTGAACTTCTCTCTGTTCCCCAGTGCTTTCAAAATTGTCCCCTTCACTAGTTGTCATGCGAAAAGAAATGAGAGGGAAGTATTCATTAGCTCTAATTGTAATATAATCAAGGGAAAAAGGTTATGCAATTTTGAAGTATGCAATATAATACAATTGTTACTCATTAGTGACGCTAGCATCCAGGCAAACTTCTGTAGTAGCGGAAGAAATCTTACAAAACATACATGAAGATGAACACGAAATGATTTTCGTTTTTCACACAAGCCACACAGGCAAACTACAGGAGTAAATTGTAGCTTCTGTCGAATAAAGTGACCAGGAAAATTGCTTCTCATTTCCATCGGGTTAGGATACAAATGTGTTACAAACGTCACATTTTTAAAATAAAATTCCCTCAGGGAAGAAAATGACAAATCTAGAAAGAAAATTTTTCCGATGAAATCTTTATGATTGTACACTCAGTGAACTTATTTTACCTCTTGGCTGATACTCAGGTTAATTGTGTCCCTGAGCCAGTTCCAAGATATTTGTATTACTGACTATACTTTCTCTCCAACTCAACTAAACGCCATACTTTTGTACTCGTTAAAGCAAGTAGAATTCCACTTGTTACCTGTATATAAGTGTAACGATTTCACCCTTGTAATAAAGGGTCCTGCTTTTCTTCCCAAGAGCAATTTTCTTGCCATTTTTCTTAATCAGACAGGCACCAATGTCCTCACGATCGCCACAAGTTTTTGCAGGCAATGCACCACAGACGTTAAGTTGAAAAGTTGCTTGTTCGTTGTTTTCAGTCATATTTCCGCTGTACATAACAACATTGTTCTTCTTCGTTAATGGTATAAGATTGAAGATTGTGTCAGACTTGGGGTCACTCACAGTACATTTGCTGCCTTGAACGTTTTCTATTGGACAACCTGCCGCTGTTTTCCAGTGAAATATGTAAGTGCAACCATCATCATCAATTTTAATAAATTCAGGAGATGAGCTCTGAGGAGAAACCAAATAGACATTAGGGATCTCCTCATATCTGATTACAAGGACATGAAATATTTTTCACCCGGCCTATTCACTCTTGTATTCACAAGCGCAGTAGCTGAAACTAACGTCAAGGCCAAATTGAGGAAAATTGACGAAATGCTAGCAACTCAATGAGAGCTTCCATAATTATTTTTTGCATCAATAATTGAGACCTTCGCGATGATTATTTGTATTTCATTGTTTTTCAAAAAATACAACGTATCTGCTACTATAAATTATGTAACTATACAAAACATAGCACAATATAAAATTATAATCACACTGCCATTTCACATCATCCTCACATTCTCTTTTTTAGTGTGTATTTGTCAATTGAAAGATCGTCATGGTTTCTAGTGTCTTAAGATTGGAATACAAAGGCTAGCCTATCTTTTCATGAATACACTTTTGTTTTTCTCGTTCATTTTAGTCAGTAACCATACTTGAAAATAACTAATCAGGCTCTCACATCACAGTTATCCGATCCGATCTTGTTAAACAGTTGCATCATTACAGACCAGGTTGGACTCCACGCAGTCCTAATACGGTTACACGTATATGTACTCTGACCCATTGGAAGGCCTCTGTCTTTAGCCTCTCCAACATTACCACAAAGGGGAGCTTTTTACAGTGTTAGACCAATCACATTTAGAGAAATGATGGCAGCTCCACTTTCAAAAAGCCTTCTGGTCTGTAACTCCACCATCTTAACAGCTTACTTTCTTTATACCCTTTTTCTTCTAGCATGAATAACATTTAAGGATGTCAATTGCACAAAATTTGAACAAGCTCACCCCTTCTCCTTTTTCACAAAGGAAAGTGATTTTTGTCTGGTATTTCCTGTCTTTACATTTGTCTCCATCAGTGTACGTAATTACGACATTGTTTACTCCTTCAGTGGGTGGGTTTGATACAGAACCTGGAAGTAAAACATAATAATCTTTTTATAAATCCAGGTACAAAGAGAATGTCAAATAAAAATAAAAATTAGAAGGGATAAAATACTTCCAACTAGTTCCAAATAGTTCCAACTGCATCTATAATATTAAACCCTTTACATCCTAACATAAGTATGAATTAATTCTCCACACTGTTCTCTAGACATTTTATGATGTGCGGACAAGGAGAATTTGTTTAACAATCAAAAGTTTTTATTGTCTGTGATCATTTCCTTCACTCTCCAGACCTTTATGTTTGATTCAGAAATTAGATGTTAAAAGGATTAACAGAGAAACTGCTAAACAATGAGTTTGACTAATGATCGTGGGTTGTGAGTACAAGTCGTGGGTGTTGGTAAAAGTCGTGTTGGTAATAGTTAATAATTAATGGTTAATAGTTCATATTTAATAATAATAACATTTTTAGTACTACTACTAATAATAATTTATTGTCGAGTATAGATTTTTTGGTACAAATTAGTCGAATGAATTATTTATTACTTATCTGTAAGTGTATCAATGAAATAGTAGTCTCACCGAGCTGATGCGATGATATTGGAATAAACAATAATATTTTACAATTTGCAGGAGCCTATTACTGGCTTCTAACAGTTGGAGAGGGGTTGTTTAATTTGTATGCATTATATCATGTTAATTATGTCAACTTAGACCATAATTAAGGGTGGTAAAGGGAAGGGGGTACAAGACCACTTTTCACGAAAAATAAAATGACCATTCACGTTTCACGCAAGATGAAATAGCCATTTCACGAAACGAAGATAAAAGGTGTTAAATTACCTGTTGGAATAAAGAGACCTGGGGCTCAGAATGATGATTAGCTAGACACAGTCATATTTATAGACGTGGTCTTGTTTTGAGACGCTTACTGGATAATTTTTTTAAAGGAAGAGAAACAATAACGGTTCAAGTAACGTTTCGCGAAAAAAAAACCCAGTCGCTTCGCAATTTCCATAAAAAAGGCGATTCACCGTTCACGGCTGAGTAACCAAATCGCGTTTCGCCAAAAAAAAACCGTTCCCCTCTACAATAATAACAATAATTAACTATTGGTAGAAGTACTATTGATAATATCATTAAATATTAACAATTAACCATTAATTGTTAACTATTACCGACAGGACTTGTACCCACACCAACACCCACGCCCACGCCCACGCCCACGACTTGTGCCCACGACTTGTGCCCACGACCATTGGTCAAACTCCTAAACAATACACTACACATTATTTCATAATTAATCATAGGGAATTAGATTACTATCGGGTTTTAATCTTGTTACCATCTGTAGACTTATTAGAGCAAGACCACTAAGCTGAGGTGAGCTCTGGTATGTAAGATGTAGCCGGTCAAAATGACTACATTGGTTTGATTTTTGACTTCCTTTTCTAACAGACTCTTACTTCGTTGAAAACCTCTACACAACTCACCCAAGTTGGTAACCTTGTTGTTTTCTTTCAGGCAGACAGCTGCTGTTCCACTACAGCCTGGTACAAGATTCAGTGAACGGCAAACATTGATGTAAAACTTTCCATTTGCACCATATGCTGCCTCCCAGTTGTCTGAAGTTCTCACCAAACTTGTCAAATCATACTGAGCAACATCTGTCCTAGCAACACATTCAACAACCTGCAAAGGGATGCAGAAAATAGTTTTGTTAAGGTGTGACACATTTGATTTCAGTTCAAAGAGGTAACAATTTTCAGTAAAACAAAAATCTTTAAAGAGCTATCATCAATCAACTGACCTTTGCTGGACAGGCATATTTTGTAAACCACATGAAGTTATAGATACAGTGATTCTCCTTCTCAAACTCTGGAACTCCTACTCCATTGTTAACTGCTGACTGATTACAGAGGAAGGTTATGTGGGTTTTACGAGAAACTCCATTATGGCACTTTTCTCCATTATGGTAGGTCAGATTTAACATTCCATCATAATAATACAAATTTTTGTTTTGCAGACCCAGTGTAAAGTTGTGCTTGGAAGATGGTTGTGTAATCTGGCACGAGGAAACATTTGCACCAACACAGCCCATTTGACTGCTCCCTCCACACACCTGTGGTTAAAGCAAAATGGACACATTGTCAGTACAAAATGGCCAGAAGGTAAAGGTTAGTACACTTACAATCCATGAGGGGTACGATGGCCTTACACTGCATTCCCAGTCTGATCTAGGATTTCCAGCCAGGGGAGGCAACGTGTCTCAGTCAACAATTTTCAGAGGGAAATAATCAACCCCCACTATTAACAGCCTTTATTCACTGGTGCTCGGGAACTTCGGGAAATTTAGCCTTTTACGTACATCTAATTCCCTTGACCATTCTCACCCACCCAGTTGAGTCATTTCATATCCATTCTCATAAATTATATTCAATGTTAAATAAGTTTTACATAATGTCAGTTTCTTATGTTATATAGCAATATTATCTGCATTAAATAATTTTTGTTTATGTGGTGTCCAATTTTGACAAGCAACCACTGAATGAAGGAAAGTCAAAAGTATAAATAAGAGAAAGGTCTAATAAAAATATCACACTTATCTTTTGCCGGGCAATAATTTAGTTGTTTCTTTTAAGAAGGTCACAAGTATACACAAAATATATATTTTTTTGTATCATAATTGCTTGATTCCACTAATTTGTCTAAGCAACAATTGACACACTAGCAGGTGAGGTATTTTGACAAGTGGAAACTGGATTGAATTGTCTCATTTTAAGTACAAATTAGGTGCATTTGAAAACTGCATAGTTGAATTTACACAGTAGAAATAAATATTATTATAATGTTATTACAAATCTCCTGGGCATGAAATGACTGCAAGTAAGAAACAAATGACCATAGATTGCATATGAAGGCTAAGTTGGGTGTTTCTCACCTTCAATCGGTACTTGTATTGTGAATTTATATTATTCACAGCCGTGACAAAGTCCTTTTGGCCCCAAGTTTTTTTGGCCAAAGGAGTAAGGTCAAATACATAACCAGCATCTTTATCTTCCACTCTGCAGTCCTGGCCAACATTCAAACCCAATGAACATGCCGCAGCTGGTAATATCATGGAATAGACAAAAAACAGTAAATGATTGTAAGTAGTTGTAATCATATCATTGCTAACTAGAGAGCTATACACTACATACATGAAAAAGGAAGGAAGAATCAGGAGAAAAAAAATATTAAATAAACAACATTAGTTATAATCCACAGGGGCTTTATCACCTAATCCTAGTTGAAAATCAGGAAAGGAAGTAACATGTTTTTGTTTTACCACTTGGAAGTAACTTGAAATATAATTTCAAACAATGGAGTTTACAACAAAGTGCTTTTTCACATGAAATGTATGTCTCTGGTCTGAATTCTTCATCAACTCACTAACAACAAACAGAACATGGCACTATGCACATGCACAATAAAATTCCATCTTCATGTACCATTAACCCTTTACACCCTACCATCAGCATGCATATTCTTCATTCTATTTTCTTAACATTTCCTAAGGTGCTGGCAACTTAAGAAGAATTTGTTTAATAATCAAGAACTTATTTAGTTGATGATCACTTTTGATCCTTTTTTCTCATGTTCTTCATATTTAATCCACAGGTGGTACTACATGTAGTCATGCTGGTCAGTCTTAGAGGTCAAAGGGTGAATGATAGTCTCTACATTTTTACACTTTCTATTAAAATCAATAAAAAAAACACTTACAACTCAAGGACCAAAAATACTACAGTCGAACCTCGATTATCCGGACTCGGTGGGACTAGGGTAAATAGTCCAGATAATCGAGAGTCCGGATAATCGAAAATATGAATATTAATGAGACAATTGAGTTATGATCGTCTCGTGTGTTTACATAACCCACGCTCATCGAACTGATCAAGCATGACATTCCCTTCGCAACAAAACAATACTGAACCAATCAAAATTCGGCTGAATGCATTAGAATGCTTCTTGTCTTTTTTTGTCTCCAAGCACTCAATCTTTCGAAAGTGGAGTGTGTAATGCGCTGTTTTAAACACAATTTTCCTGACTTTTAGCATAATTTCTGAATTTTTTTACCTCCTAAAGTTTTTAACATCTAAGGTCATTAATATTCATGAAAAAAACGGGACCAGAGAAAAAGTCCAGATAATTGAAAAATCCGGATAATCGATGTACGGATAATCAAGGTTCGACTGTACCCCTATATCTACCTGTCCTCCACATGAACTCATAATGACATTCATCTGATGTATGCGTGACCAGAACAGGGGGACTTGACAAATCTCCTGTCTGACATAAAAATGTTATTGTGGATCTTATAAATACACTCTTTCCTGCATTGTCCTTCTTGCATTCACTACCCTGAATATAAACCAACTTGATAGAATTGTCTGGATTCAAAGTAGGTGGTTCTGTGTATTTCCCAAGGCTTACTACTTTTCCCTTGCTTTGATCAATCATACAAATAGCTGCTGAACTATCACACTGTTTGGCTTCAGGATGGCCAGTCACATGACCACAAACATTTATCAAAATATTTCTTTTAGCACTGATACTCTCTCCATCCACCGCAATCCAGTTGGTGGAATTTTCCATGCGCACAAGCTCAGAAAGATCATAGCGTACTCCCGAAGGGCTGACAACACGACACTGAGTCCCTGTGCGACGGCTAGGTGGACAAGCATATCTTGTTTCCCAGTTGAAGTAGTAAAAGCAGTAGCTCTCACTGTTAAAAACAGGTCCTGTGCCTATCTCAGCTGTGTAGTTACATATAAACATGATAATGGTTGTTCGATTGAGCCCATTTCTACATGCAGATCCATGCTCATAGGTTAAAGACAGCTGTCCATCAGCATAGCGTAGAGTTTGTTTTGATATAATACCAAGGGACTTTCGCCAAGATCCATCTTTCACTTCCTGGCAAACCGTTGAGTCTGATCCTAACAGAAAAAAAATATAACATAATTAAATTACAGTGGTCTCAAACACAATTGAACATAAATAACTGTTGCTCTAATCTCATCATGTAATTTTATACCAATTCAAGATATTAATTCATCAGTGGTTATGAATTAACTCATATACCAAAAGAGCATTTTGCAAACATTTCAAGTAAGGATGTTGTACATTCTCCGCATAAAGAGAAGCAGACACTCTGTTAACAGTGAAAAAAGTTTGAGTTTCCACTAAGATACAGTACAGACAGTTGCATATGAGAATACTTCAAAGTTATGACTGAGATAATGACTGAGCCTTTTAAAAATAAGATGATTGCAATTCGACTCTGGCCCATTTCATTTGCTTCAGCATACATATCTTCTACCTTAATTATATGCATATTCAACATACATGTATTAAGCACTTAGGCTAGACAACCCTATCTTTCAAACTAGGTGCAACCTGCTAAAAAAAACTTGAAAACAATTAACATTCTTCCAAAAGCCTTCTGACAATTTGTCCTGTATGAAGCCCTTCAGTACATCCAAGAAACAAACCTTCGCAAGGAAAGCTCAGACGACGGCAAACATTAATGTAATATATGTACTGAGTTGTGGAGCCAGCTCTAGTATCATTATAATAAACTTGGTAGTCATCCTCTTTGGCGGCAGCGAGCTTTGTCATATTGAAGTGGACAGAGTCATCGCTCAGGACACAGCTCGTGGTTTCCAGGATACTGGACTTCGCACATGCAAACTCTGTCTCCCAAAGAACTTCAAATGCACAATAACTAGCTTCTGTCAAAACTGGGCCTTTACCACCCTAAAAATAATATATACAGTGCCACTCATGAGTTATATGACTCAACTCAATCCTCAAGTCTCAAGTTTCAAGGTTTCAGTTTTTACACGTACCTCAATTTTTCAAGGATACTTAATAACAAATGGTACTCAACACAGTAAAATTCATTTTCTATACCCTTACTGTTGAAGGAAATGACCTTTGTCAAAACTAAAAGTGATGACACAAGGTCCAGCAGTTAGTTTTCACTGGGCTGAAAAACTTGCCATTAGAAAGGCAATAGTTAAAAGTAACAAGACCAAGCTTGATTTTGGATTGCTAAAAGAACAAAATTGGCAAAATTCATTCTCATGCATCAATTGGCCAAAGTATGTACAACTTTTCAGAATCACCCTTGCGGGGCATAATGTGTTATCATTTCTGTTGTCAGCACTCCTATTGTCAAGGCCTCTCGACCATTGGTAAAATAACTCTTCAAGTCAAAGCATTCTTTGTATTCTAAGACCCAAGCCACCCCACATGTCTTTTTTCAAAAAAGGTTTAAAATACCTGAGTATATACTGAGACTCTACATAATGAAGCAAGATGAGCAATAAAAAGCTGCATGGCCTGTTAGAACCCCAAAAGATACCAAAAACAAGGAAAAAAGGAAGAAAATAGAGAACAGTATTTGTATCATAAAATACCTATTGACTATGTCAGGTTCTGCAAAATATTACAATTGGCTCTCCAACATGACATACAGACATTCCTATGCTCAATCTGTACATGTACATCCTAACCTAGTGCTAAATATTTCACCATTTGGCCATCCCACTCAGTTGATAAATACCTGTTACTTACTGAGTTAGAGTCTTTACAGTAAGTTAGAGACCAGATTTTTCAGTTTGAAATAATGACCAATAATAGAACAAGTACTGACTGAGAGATATCATAAGCACATACACAATAATTCTGTCAATGCTTATGCTTACCCTATTCCTGCCTGGGCACCTGAAGGTAATCGTGGTAGCAGGATTCAAATTTTTTGGGCAGCCACTCACAGTCTTTGTTGTGTTGTAAACAAGGACAATGTCATTCTTGTCTCTGAGTATAAGGCCACTTGTGTATGAGATGCTCCCAACATCTTCAGGTTTTTGAAGGTTTTTATCAACTCTACACATGGAACTGTTGGCTGGACAATGAATGTTATCATCTTTTTTAGGTTTTATTCCTCTACAAACATTGATGTAAAAAACAAAGTTTCCACCTGAAGATGAAACTTCATGGCCACCTGTAGAAACCCAATAAAAAATTTAATAAACATAATGAAATAAAAATATCATAATATCATTTCATGATGAAATAAAAATATCTAACCAAACTGTTTGCACCCAAATATCAGTCTCTATATTCTCCATACTGTGCTCTATACATTTCCTAAGGTGTTGAGAATTTGTTCAATAGTGAAGAGCCTCTTTAGCTAATGATCATTTCTTATATTCTCATGACCTCAGTGTGTGATTTAGGAGTGCTGTTATAAGGAGAGATTAGATGCTAGTCACTCTTAGTGGCCAAAAGGTTACTGCCCTTGCATTAAGTGATTAACATGTAACTTCTCCCTATAATATCCAAACATTATCAGCAAACAGGTGATAAGAATACTCAGACTTCTCACATAGAAGCTGTTATCTTGATCTAACACCAAATACTCAAAACTAATTTACATGGAAATGTGTGAGAGCTAGAGGGGAGAATTAAAAGGGCATCTCTTTGTAGTTTGCTTATGAAGACACTACTTACAGGGTAAATTAAAAGAGTGCATAAACATGAAGAAAAACTAGAGTTAGATGAGATGAGCATTTTTATTCACAGCTAAGAGAGTTTTAGAATTGACTATCACTAGACAAAAGTATTTTGCAAAAGTAATGCAAATGAAAATCACCAAATTTTGTTAATTGTTCTTTCCAAATTTCATTGCACTTTTGTGCAAAAGTTTGTGAAGATTCTCACTTGCACTTTGCATCATTTTGCTTGAACATAGAGCGATATTTCTTCAAATTTTCATTACCAAACAAAAGTTTGCAATAAATAGCTTGGGAAAGACAAAATAATTCTCAACCTGACATGCTTGATCTTCATGTCATGTAATGAGCATGAAACATGAGATTAAATTGTCTTTGGCACGGAAGATTTCAAACATTTGTGCAAACTGTGTTTATCGTGTTTTGATTAGAGCTACAATGTAATTGACAAAATAAAATTTTGGATTACAGAAAGAAGGAGAATTCAAGCAATTATTTGGGAAGCAAGTGTGACAAAAGTGTCCAACAAATTAAGGAAAGTGTAAAACAGAAGGGTAAATTGACTAGACAGCAAAACATGTTGAACTTACATGTAGTTGGACAAAAAAATTAATCCTGTCAGAGCTGTTTCTCATGCAGAGATCCATGGAACTTTTGTGATTAGTTATTGAGCTTTTAAATGTTCCCAAGCTCATGGAAATAGCTCTTTCTCTGTTTAAAATTCGTTTCAATTTACTAGAATACAGTGTGTATGCATGGTGTTTAAATTTTGAATTCAGTTCTATAGTGGATTAATGAATGCCTTGGAAAGTAAAGGTTGGGTGTCTAAGACATTCAAGACAGCCAAGGTAAAACTAGTCCACCTAACTATTAAGTTGGAGTAAAACAAACATCAATAAAATAATGTTACCTTCTGTTTTGATCAAAGGTGTTAGATCTATTATTTCCTTGTCTGTTCCATACAGTGAGCAAGGAATTTCTGGTCCAGGTTTTGTTTTACAAGCCTCATTAGTAACAAACTCAAAAACAGCCACACACTTCTCTTTTCCCACAAAGAGATCCACAAACTGAGGAGATCCCTATAAATTTTTACAATGAGAATACATTAAGGATATAATGATTTTGTAACAACGTCCTTTTAATTCACCACTGAATTTATAAATGTTTGGTATTAGCAAGTCATACTATTCCCAAGGCAGCCATAAACTCTTTTAGAAATCTCCCATTTATTTGTAACATCTTTTCAACAGGTTCCACATCCTAATATCTTAGCCAGAACAAAATTACAGATTCCAAAAATAAAAAAAGGAGTTTCTAAAGATAAAGACAAGATGATTTGGTTAATCCTCTGAGCTGACAATGTAAATATGTCACCATAAAGAGTTTCTTAAGTTGTTGTTTTAGGCATAAGTCCTTTGTCAGAATGAAGGTTCAGCAAGTAATCATGATAAGCTCAGGAAAGTTGTTAGCTTTGAGAAATTATCTTAATACAGAGCTACTTCATTTTAATCTTAAATTTAATGTAAAAGGTAATCTAGTAAAGACAGTAATAAATATGACTAAAACAACCATCATCACAATGACAACTATACACTCAGACAGTAACGAGGATAATCATAACTAGTATAATGATAATGATTACAATGCGGGTAATGATTATGATAATAATAATCATTATTACCATAATAAATAATGGTAAGTAAACCGAGTGAAGTGAAATTTGTAGCACAACTTCCTAATTGGCTGAGGAAAAGTCTGCGAATTATGAATAAGTTGCAACAATGAGAACCAATCACATTCCAAGGATCACCGATGATTTCAAAATGGATGTAACAAAGACAATGATAGTGATAATGAAAGGGATGGATGTACTAACATTCTAATGAAAAATCAAGTATCGTCAGAACTACCCTCCAAAACCAAACTCAAAACAACAGGGTCAGGACAAACTGATTCTCCGAACAGTCACGATGTCTATTGTCCTATAAATACAGCAATTTTTGGATCAAATACTTACCAGAAACTTTCCACATCTCATAAAGATGTTGGTTTCCCATGCCTTATTATTTCCCATCTCGTTGCATTGTCCACCAGTAAAAATCAAATCGAAGCCTGAATCCCTTGTTGCATTTATCTGTCTTTTAGAGCCTAAATCCTGAAGAGTAGTACTATCAGCTGATGACGGCGAGCAAACGGCAGCCTTTGAAGGACAACTTTTTTTTTTTACTTTAGCGTTTCCACAGACATTGATATAATATTCCCTTTTGCTTCCAATAACCTTCCATGTCCTAAAATGGAAAAAGAAGGAAGCAGAGAAATACTAAGACGTAAGGTTTTACACCAAAACGCTTACGGAAGTTTCCGAGTTTCGATCCTTCTGGCATCAGATGTGCAATTCTCGTGTAACTCTTAAAAAACATTCCTTACCAATTTGTGATAGAGTATGTTGATATTTGACATTTACTCGGAAGATTTGCGTGTATGTACAACCCATAGAACAAAAATAAACAAGCTAAAACTTGAAAGACCCTCCAATGAGCCGCCATCTTGCCAGTTGAGTCATGCGTAATGCTGAGGTTACCAACAAAACCTGATTCTCATGTGACTGTCACGCGAACGCAAAGAAAGCGTGACTAACAGGAAGTGCAGTTACATACAACAAACGCAGTCAACAACGACGATAAGATAGAACATAAAACATCAAAAGAAAGGCACTACGTACCTAGGGTGGTAATGAATCGATGCTGGAAAGTAAATGGACGATGGAACTAATTTTATTCCCTCTCTGTGACTTTTTTTTTTTTTCCGCTAATTATGACAGCGCGTTTCCATGGTGTCATTGCAACCAAGTGATATGCGCGCGCAATGTCGTCATAGAGAGATCCAAGTGCAAAATTCTCCACCGAAAAAGGAACTTCCGTAATTTCGGGAAAGAATTAATAGGAAGACCCTAGAAATGTATCACTTTCCCAAATATGACGAGGAGCAGAGGAGAGAAAAAGAGGAACAGAGGAAAGAAAGAAAACGCGCGCGAAGGCGTCGACGAAAAGAAAAGATCCATAAACCAAGCTGGAAGGAAAAAACTCAGCAAGCAACGTTTCCTGTTCTTGTCGAAAGATCCAAAGCAAGTCCACCACTGAGGCACAGGACAAGAATTTACTTTTCTCCAGAGTTTGAAGCAATGCACAGTGCTCTTGACTCTGCAGAAAATAGCGAAAATGAGGAGTATTACGTTACAAGAGTAAGACCTCCATTGCCAGTCGGATCTGAGCTTTCCCATCAAACACGCACCAGAAAGAAAAAGAAAGCAACTAAAGTCGAAGAAGAACTCTCTCATTCTTTATACCCGTCTTATTTAGAGACCCCCCCTTCCAGAAATGGAATTTCTTTCGCAACGGAAGCACCCACCAGAAACGTGGATCCCCTTCCCGCGAGGAGAAGCATGGAGAGTATGTTAAGTTTGGACTCGACTGAAATGCAGATGCGTCTCAAGAAACTGAACAAACTTCCTCCTATAGATAAGGAAAATAAATCACAACACACTGATGAATACCCCTGCATGAAGCGTTATTGACTGATTCTCGCCTTTGATTTCAAAATTTTAAATTCAGCTCTATTATAAATTGGCAGTCATTTTTTGAGGAACAATAATTATTTAACTGTTGCGCTTTTGAGTAAGCTTCCTTATCATATGTCAAATGTTATGATTTTATTAAATCGGCGAGCACTTCAAGTCTCTGAATCTCTTTCTTTTTGTTTTCGACCGTGGTTAGCGAGTGAGTACGCATCCCTCGCCCAACGTTACTGCTACAGCTTTCTATGTTTGCTTCCTTACACGTATACATTTTTCTACAATTAACTTAGGTTCAAAGTTAATTTCCTCGAGATTTGCAAAGTTTGCATATCTTCCAGCCCTCGGCACCGTCTTTGTATTTCAGTTCCCGCTCTCTGGACGATTGCATACTTTACACCTCGATACCGTTTTTGTATTTTCCCATCCTTCTGTACCAATTGCGCATTTCCTTCCTTGTCACCGTTGCGTATTTCTCAGCTTACAACACCTAGCTAGTTGCATGCTTGCTGCTCTTGGCACTTGTTCCATATTCTCCCACGATTAAAACTAGAGAGAATAGGGGCACAAAGGGCTTAACATTGGCTTTGTTTTCCCGCGCCTTGAACTGTGTAATAGACTGGTTAGAAATTTTCCCGCGCTTTCACTGGTTATATATCTTCACGCGCACAACCGCGCTTGAGACTGGTGACAAATTTGCCGCGCTTTGACTAGTTACATACCTTCCCGCACGCAACCGCGCTTGAAACTGGTTACATGTTTCCCGCGCTTACTTTGACTGCATGTTTTCCCCAGTCCCGCGTTTGACACGTCACACATGTTTTCCTGAGATTGGCAGTAATTACTTTTTTCTCCGTGCGGTAACATAACTCGTGGACCCACTACAGGTTTAATACTTCTTTGCATAACTTTTATAACTTATTTCTTCACTGCAACACATAAAATTACTTTTCTAATCCAACACGTACACTTTGACCTCATTTTAAAGTTAATTTATCTTCACGTCAACGACGGGAAAGGTAAATTCCAAAATAAATATGATACTGTCTAACCACTCTTCCAGCCTCGATTCCGACAAAATTGTCTGCTAACTTAAAAACAATACTTTTAGACTGAAACTACGACAAGGCACATCATCCACAAAAAAAGGCCCTGAATAACGTTTACACTGCTAAGCTCTATCTCTGAAACCGGATGATTTTTCATGAAACAGATGAAAAATAAAATCTAAGACATGTCTAAGAGAAAATTACAATATACGCCAAAGGGAGCTTGAAAATGGTTCCTCATAGCTTGACACCTTTTTTCTCCGACTGAAAGAGAAAAATTAACTTGACATTAACTTAATTTTTACATTGCGATGAAAAAGGACCCAAAATATAAATTTTGGCGGCCTCTCTCCTTAAAAAGGATAGCACACTTTTGTACCAAGGGCAGGCTTTGTAACTTTAGCGTTCTTCGATGTTTTTTGAAATTTCAGTCTTTTTACAACTTTCAGTCCTTATTATATTTTCTCTTTCTCTGAAATGGAGGTTATGCATCTTAAAAATATCAAGCCGAAATTTTTCTTAATTCATTATTTGCAATTCCCGCAAATCTACTTTACAAAAATAACTCAGTGTCTCTCTCTTTTTGTCTAAACTTCCCTTAGGTCCACTCCCCTCGCACGTCCGAATTCGTTTTGTTTCCTTTTCGTTTCCATTTTCCCTCCTGCGTCAAAAACCACAGCCTTTTAAAATAATTCAAAGTCTCAGAACTGACGGCCCTTTCGCTTCAAAAATCAATACAATTATTTAACCAAGGCAGCGCCTTGCTCCTGAGCTAAACCTGCCATCTTGTTTCCCTACTGAGAACAGAGGTGACTCGGTGTTCAGTGCGCTGGGTTGCATTATTGATTAAAACACTTAACTCCCACAGTGCATCTCTTCACCCGGGAGTGAATTCGGTGAGGGCGAATTTCATACGGGGTGAACTTGGGTACTTTATATAAATTGTGTCTACAGACAACATTGGCAGATATATTTATTAAGCTCTTACCTCTATTTTCAGCCATTTCAAAGCAATAAGAACCTGCAAACAAAAAAATTTCCAAAGTCTGAGAAACTCCAGGCAAGTACTCAAAACGCTTGTATTTTTATTCAGAAGAGAATTTAAGGTGCCCCAAATTGACTCGGGCCACGGAAGAGGATACGGGGTCGGCTAATTGCAATTAATTGATCTATTGCTTGCTCAGAGCGCCCTTCGATTGAGTGCCGTAAGAACAAAACCAAGATTATCGCTACGAAAAACTAGAAGAAAGGAAAATACTCTTAGAACCAATGAAAAGTCAAAATAAAATGAAGCAAACTGCCCGTAGCGCGGGAAAATGCGGGTGAACAAGTCGTTTTAGTTTTGCATCTGTTTGGTGAGTTTTTAGTGGCTTCTTCTGATATTTCCCTTAACACGAAGCAAGGTAGAAATACACCCTGAACTTTAACAATCTTTAACTTTGAAAGGTGTTTTCATTTTATAAGCCCAAAAACGACGGAGTATTTACTCACTTGTGGAACATTTTGTTTCTCGTAGAGATCTACTGTGACAAATATATACTCCGCTTGCACACCATACTCTCTCAAAAAATCACTAAACCACCCAATGTTTTCCATCTGCGAAGAGGATCAAAAAACCGTTTAAGAGAGCAATGAGATAGAATATTGTTGCAGCTAATATGAATTCAGGAGAAAATACTTTGATGTATTCATTGAGGAAACTGGCAAAATTTATTACAAATAAATCTCATATAACCGAATTGATACAAGTATGTAGTTTGGTATGTTCTATGTCGTCAATTCAACCGATGAGAACGTCTCTACTTGAAGTAGGCTAATTAGTACTCGAAACTGAAATAAAAGTACTGAAACTAAATTTAAAAAGCTGAAGAGTGCGAGCATTCCCTCCTTCTCGGCAAAATCGGTCCCGCAGGTCAAAAAAAAACCAAAACAAAAGGCAAAAAAAATATCGATGTTAGCGCATAGCGCAGAACACCAAAGTAGAAGGAGGCGCGCTGACATCAATTTTATTTTTTCCCGGTTTCCCGACTGTTCTTAGTCTAGAAAAGCTTTAGGGGAAAAAGTATAACCATCCTAAAATAGAAAAAGCGACTATTTTCTACAATGGACACGCATCAAATTTGCACCGACGTACCTTGTGAAATGGCATCTTCATTTTGTTTATTTTCTTTATTGCGCCTGGTTTTATCTGATTGGCTAGCCTTCACTCATCGCAAGATAAAAATGAAAAAAACCATTGTAACAGTTTAAGTAACATGAATTTCTTCAACTTGAATTGAAAATAATTTTCCAAATAGGAGTTTCCGAATTAGTAAAGTATCCGTGTGAGGATTGGTTAAGGCAACACAGAGGTCAAACGTCGGGCATGCGTTAGGGAATCAATTTCGGTCGGTAAGTAGGTCTGTTCCTATTGTGCTCAGCAACGTTTGAGTAAGTTTTTACATTTATGCAATTTTTAGCAACATCGAGCAAGTTTTTGCCTATCTGAGCAAAATATGGGTTTAGAGCACATATTCAGCACGAAAAAGTGAACGATTTCCTACGCCAAATGTCAAAGAAAAACAAAAAGAAGCAACCTTTGTCTTGAAAAATAAGCGAAAGAAATTTGAAACGTTCATGCCTCTGTGACTACACAAACAAAATACTCAGACATTACTTGCAGAGTGTTTGACCATCGTTCAACGTCTCAGCAAAGGAAGTAGGATCGTCCGAGGGGACAGATTCTCCTGTGGCCCTCTGAATCCAAGCGCAGATGTCCCTCGCTGTCTCTTTGTCCCACTTAGAGGCCATCTAATTGACAGGTTGAGAAATATTAATTCTTAAAGCTTCAGTCTATGCTCTGTTTTATAGATCAGTAAAAAGTAAAAATAAGTGAATTTTTCGCCGCAGATACGCACAGTGATTATTCTAAAACCTCTTTAGTTTTGGTTTGAAAGTTTTACTGAATAGGATTAGATGAAAATACAGTAATAAATAATTAATTGAAGAAGAAGCTTTCATTCCGCTTTCCGTCGAACGTAATTAGAGAGTCAAACATGCGAATATTAGTTGAGAGAGATTTCGGATATCTCTCTACAATTCTCAAAACAAAGCGGCAGTTCCAAAAGTAATCTATTGCTTTTGTCACCGCTTTCTTTTATCAAAGAACCGTATACACAATAACATACGGGATTGTAACTAAAATCTTGCCAACTTCTTTAGCAAATAATTGTACATGGTATTATCCACATCGAAACAATTTCGGTTTGCTTCGTATCTAGCGAAGTAAAGTTGACGTCCTCTGACTTGTACCTCCTTAAAAACCCTAAAAACCAACGCAGTTAGTAGAATTAGAGCGAATTGAGGAAATTGGTCGCAATTTTTTCTCGCTAAACATAAGTATCTGAACTGATACCAACAATCGTTACTGACAGGCTCGATTGATGCCATGCTTGGCCATGCAATTTTCAAAAGCTAGGATGTTTACAGTAGTAATACAAAAACTTTACACATGTTAAAAAAAAGTTTAAAACTCTACCTTACTAAAAAATGAATCCTGCGAATTCGTGGAGCGCGAGTAAGTTTGATATAGACGATTACAAGTAATGAGTGTACCTACTCGAGTTTCTCGCGCGAGTTATATTTTACCAAGCCCAAAATAATTTGCATTGAATTGAATAAGAAAAGTTAAAACAAAAGCTTCACAATTAGCATCATTGAGCAGGTCTGTGATGAGTGAATTTACATGACAAAAGCAGCACTTATCACAGGGCAAATCCTACGGTGCCAAAGAGTTACGTTGTAATTGTTAGCTGAAAAAAAAAAAGAAAAAAGAAAAACAACGACTATCTTACTCCAGATATGGCTTTGAAAATGCACTTGTAGGGGAAAGGTTTAAAAAAATGTTGGCCGCCTAAACGTCCACGTAAGGGGTGCCTCTCTCTCGAGTTCTCCTTTCCCCGCTATTACCATCTCCAGTTGCTGGTATCTGACCTATAAATATTTGAACTTTTAAAAGTGACCTCTTTGTTAGACTTCAATATTTCCTGATCCAGAAAGGCCATTTCACTGATTTCGTCCCATAGTAGAGTTTCTCAAAAGCCCGTATTCGAGAGGTTTGTAATTGTTCTGTATCTTTGTGAAAGTTTTGATACAAAATCTTGTGCAATTTGCTAAAGAAATGATTGCGCTCTCGGACTCTTTTGAAGACGGAAAAGAAGACTAGGGACCGCAACTGACAAAAGTACAGTTTCGGTTTGGAAGTTTCTAAAATTTCCCTACAGTAACGCCCCACCCACCGTATCCCCCCACCCACCGTATCCCCCACCCCCTCCACGTGGAAACAAGAGCTAAGCAAAACAACAAGCTTTCCCTTACCCGTGAGGACTGGGGTGTGCGTCACGGGCCATCAAAACGCAGATGACATTGACCTTATTCTTCGGTTTTCCCGTTTTGCTTTTTATTTATTTGCTTCGCTGCTCTCTTCCTTCTAGCAGCAACATGAAAGTAATTGCTTTTTCAAGACTCAGCGAGTTTACCACCGTCGAAATTCCATGCATGCTGGTTCAGTGGTTACACGCATTAATGAAAACCCAAAATCAGCGTCGGCTATCTTGACATTTCCATACATGCAATCACACTGTGCAAAGCTGATTAAGTGGACTGATTAAGTCTGACATCCTATTGGGATGTTTTGACCCATTCAACTCTACTGGGGAGTCTGGTAGTCTCGAAGCGAGAAAAACACAATACTGGCCAAATGATCTGCACGATATATGCCAGGTGTTCTTTCCCAAATTCATGGCGGGAAAAAGAGTGCCAGTTACTTGCTGTCACTCAAGTCAACTCATGTTTGGGCAATTCGATCAATATTTAATTACCTCAGTCAATATGTATAGCGTTTTTGCGACGGATTAGTCTTATGTGGTTTCAAGAGAAGAAAGCAGTTCTTTGTTAAGTTTTATGGTTCTAAAGTTTATCGTGTAAACGAAAAATCACACATAATCCAAACCTGCATTCGTGACTTATGCTTTGTTTTAGTTGGTGAACAAAAAGTATTGCTGTATTGTGAATGCAAATGTTAACCCTTAAATAATTTATTCGAGACCACGCGTGAAAGTACTAATGATCTATTGTTGTCTAGAAAACCTCGAAAAAAATCCCGAGGAACAATCCCGAAGAAGATATCGAATTTACTAACACAGCTTACTTCTCGAGGCAAGAATTTCTTTCCCGATTGAGAGTAAAATCTACCACTAAGAGCCGAAAGCAAGGAACAGATGAAAATGTTGCATCGTGACTTGCAATTTCACTTGCCTCTTGTGGGAAGCCGTTTTACTACCAAATTTGTTCAAGTCCGTATTTCGATAAATCGCCAATTGTGATTAACTCAACAAAAAATATTCCAAGGTGTTACATTCAAATCGGATCAAAAAAATGACCTCAGACAATTTACCCAAACAAATGATTTTCATAGTCAATCGAGAAAAGAAGGAACAATATTTGTATCGTTCCCATGCTGCGCTCCACGCTCGCACATTTTAACCTTCAAATTCTACAACCCAGTGTTTACATAGGAAGGAAAATGCAGATAAACTAGAATTAGTCTACTATCAGTTGACGAGTTCGATAATTCTACAACCAGATGGTAGCTGGTGCCCTTCCTTGAAGAGCTTCATCGTAAACAGTCAATTAAGCGGTTCATTCAAGCCCAAGGAATTCTAATCACTACTACATCTTTGAAAAAAGAACCTAAAACTTCAGCCACAGAACTTACCTTGCCTTTACTGTCAGCTGCGGATGGATGAAACGGTCGAAAAGCCATCCTTGGGCAAGGCTTGAGCACTCGATCGAAATAATCTGTCGATTAAGCAAAGTACTGTGTCGGTCGCAAATGTTATGTGTCACGCCTCTGTCACGCCCGTCTAAGGTACGACTTACCGCCACGTGCACAGGCTTCCGCGGAAACTGTGGACTTTCACATGAAGACAGTCATAGCCTCATGCCTCTGGTCAAGGGATACGAAGAAATATCGGGGAGAAACAAAACCAAACAAAAGAAGAGGTCTCTGGGAGATTTCCACGCTTGATTTTCAAGTTCGTGTTCTCCCAGCCAAGGTGGGGAGGGAAGGTAAAGCTTTTGCTATCTTTGAGTTTTACACCGTTTTAACAACATAAAGGAAAATTTTATCTTCTCAGAAACATCAAACCACAAATGCGATGCCAGGAGAAATGACTCTGGTCACGGTTTCCCTGTCTAATCTTTCAATAACTCTTCCAGTGATCTATAGTTGCATGGCTAAGAGGCCGAACTGTGGGCAACAAGTGCAGTGGTCTTTTGCAGTCATTTTCCATATTGAAACGTCAGTTTTAGAAACTCTCAACGTGGTATATAAGCAATTTTTCCAGGCTTCCACCTCCCCCCCCCCCCCCC